AAAAAAAAAATATATATATATATATATATATATATATATGAACTGCCTTTTTGCCTTGCACTGATTCACAACAGTAAGCATATAATAAACTGATGTTGGGTTGGATTTCGCGGGAAATGTCAGTTTCATGTAAATAAAGAAATTAAGGTGTGGATATTATTGTGTTTGGTGCAGTGCTGAAACAAACTGTTAACTGATAAAACAAAGAGAAGCGCTCACGAGCAAAACTTAAAAAAAAAAATACAGAGCCTGTAATTCAACTCGTCAATCAACATCAGAGACATGCTTTTCAGAGACAGCGACAACAAGACTTCAAAGGATTCCAAACCAGCCCAGAGACGGTATTTTCTCGCCCCACAGGTAAGATATTTCGCAATCGCTATGTTGAATGTCTGTGTTTCATAACTTTTGTTGCGGTGTTTGTCTTAAAACCGCTGCTTTCATAGAGTCAGCTAGGATATTCGGATATTAGTGTTTATATACAGTATGTGTCGTGCCTTTTTGGAGGGGTGAGTTTTGACATTATTTATTTATAAAATGATCGCTTGTTCAGTAGTGCTGAAGAGCTGAGCGGAAGTCAAGTCACATAATTAGCAAAACAAAACAGTTGCTGCTCAACCGCCAAAATTTTTAAAGTGAACGTTAAAGGGATAGTTCACCCAAAAATGAAAATTCTGTCATTACTTACTCACCCTCATGTCGTTCCAAACCCATAAGACCTTTGTTCATCTTCGGAACACAAATTAAGATATTTTTGATGAAATCCGAGAGCTTTCTGACCCTCTATAGACAGCAACAGAACTACCACGTTCAAGGGCCAGAAAGCTAGTAAAGACATCAGTAAAATAGTCCATGTGACATCAGTGGTTCAACCTTAATCTTATGAAGCTAGGAGAATACTTTTTTTGTGTGCAAAGAAAACAAAAATAACAACTTAATTCAACAATGTCTTCTCTTCTGTATCAGTCTCCACCGCATTCATGGCAGAATTTAAATTTTTGGGTGAAGTAACCCTTTAAGTCACATGGATCACTGGTCCCTTTTGAACATTCTGTTCACAATAAGTAATGTTGCACCTACATGTCTACTAACTCTCATCAGAGTATTAGTAGACTGTTTGCTTAATATCTGCTAACTCTTTATTGTCATGGTCTCCCAACAGACATTCTACTGACTATAAGTAAGTTTGCAAGTACATGTCAACTTATTCTAACCCTAACCCTACCAGTCTACTAATACTCTGATGAGAGTTAGTAGACATGTAGGTGCAATGTTACTTATAGTCAACAGAATGTGTTAAAGGGACCAGTTACCGGGCTGTTTAGTTTGGTTTCTAGTAACTGCTGAAAGCTCATAACTGCTCAAACATTTATCATGTTTGAATAGTTTAGATTTTTTTTGAGTAAATGGAGAGTGTCTAATGTCTTAAATCTGTCTGTTTTTGAAAAAAAAAAAAAAAAACATAAAATATGCATAAAAATACAATAGTAAGTTATCTTCAACCAAAGCTGAAAGCCA